CTGTTCCATTTCCTTGCTCTAACTTCAGGAAATCTTCCTCCATTTGTCTAATGGCCGTTTTAGGACAGAACTGATTTTTAAATCTATCCACGAATTCTACCCATGACAAAGTCTGTAAAACATCTGTTCTGGTAGATGATTCAACTTCCCACCAAAACAACGCATTTGACTTCAATACCAAAACAGCAAATCGCACTTTATCTGTTTCTAGACACCGAATGGTGTTGAACACGGATTCCATCTCATTGATCCAGCACATTGCTTTCACTGGATCTCTCTCCCCAGAGAAGGTTGGTGGTTTACATGCTAAGAACATCTTAATATCTCCTCCTTTGTTGTGAGTGATTGGAGCAGAGGGGTAAACTTCTACTCTTTTTGTTTCCACTCTAGCCGGTATTCCCATGATAGATGTCAGAGTTTCCCGCAATTTTCCCATTTCCTCTACCAAAATATTTCTAGTTATATATTCTGGGTGTGGCACCGACCTTTCCTGAACATTTCCAGAGTGAGATTCTTCTTGTTCAGATTGAATTTCGGTCTGTCCTCTTCCTTGAGACTGACTTCTTCCTCTACCTCGTCCCCTTGGTCTTCCTCGACCTCTATTTCCAGACATACTAATTGGAGGATTAACAGGTGATTCTTCCCTTTCCTCAGATTCTGGATGAGCCAATCTTTCAGATCTTTTAGTTCGGCTAGACATCTACAGAGTTTAATATTAATAATCACATATTCACATTCCCAAATATAATGAAGTATTCAAGTTCAGATGTGTACCTATAAATTTACAATTACACTGGCCAGATGTAATTAAAATTTACCTTACACACTGTTCTTTCAACTCATCATATTTATTTCCAATGGTGCTAACTATGTCCGGGACTCTTATCATGCAATAAAAATAGTTTAAGTCTAGGTATCATGCTTTGAATACCTAAATCCCTTAAACTCAGGCTCTGATACCACTTCTGTAACGCCCCAAATACCACATTTGCATAGAACACATATTTCATTACATAGAAACACGGATTACATCAAAAGTCCCACTAGTACAAGGATTACTATATGTACAAAATTGACATATAAGAATTTCTAAAACAAATCCTGTACTACTACATGTAATATAACATGCATCTTCAAAAGCAGACAATAGATTTAGGAAAATAATCACATTTTCCCTTTCACATCCCCAGACCCAGCTATTCCTGCATTGCATAATTTAAAACAGAAAATGAGGGTTAGACCATACGGGTCTAGTGAGGTTCCCTTCTATGAAATGCAGGGTGAAGATCACCAAAACATTTATTTCAAATCATTCATCGCATGAAGCAAAACTGAAAACATACTTCTTCGGTCCATCGGACCTCTGGTTCCAAACCATACTTAGAAAATATTTCGACACAGGACCAGAGCCCCTCTGGTCTCTCTTCCAGAGCTTCTGGTTTCACGACCAGAGCCGCTGGTTTCACTAACTAGACTTGGAATATAATTCGACATTCAGGACCAGAGCCCCTCTGGT